GGCCTTTTGAGAAACACTGCTCTAAGGACTCTAGCTCTCCTTTTGGTACCTGAAGAAACTGAGGCTGCCTGAAGCCCAGGGCAGAAGGAGGGGCCTGACCCGGGGACAGGTTGCCCAGGTTGCCCAGGTTTGAGAGTGTCCTTCTGGGCACTTACTGTTCTCCAGGGTAAACATGCGCCACAGCAGATTTCAGAAAAAACATATTTTGAGTAACTCAGATCACGAGAGGCCTGGAGTAAGAGATTTACAGCAAGCGATCCAAGGAGGAGAATCCCATGAAGTCATGGGCAAAGTAACGAAAGGAAAATTAAGGTACTTTTTCTAAATTAAAGGAAAGTGATAAGAAGTCACCCCACAAGTGAACTTGAGGGAGGGTTGAGGAACTCTTTTGTTTTTTGTTTTGTTTCTGAGTCCAGTGCAAATGAACTGGAGTAGACTTTCATAGTCCAGTGAATTGCCCTTGTTTTGTTTTGTTTTCTGTGTTCCTTTAGCCTTCCCCCTTTTCCCTCAGTGTATTTAGTTCCCACATCTTTCTGATCCACGTGGCCTTTCACCCCACTGCTTTTGGTTTCCTCAGATCATTTACTCTGCTCCAAAGAATATAAAAAAGAGAAGTTGGTGGGGCGTGGTGGCTCATGCCTGTAATTCCAGCACTTTGGGAGGCTGAGGAGGGCTGATCACGAGGTCAGGAGTTTGAGACCAGCGTGACCAATATGGTGAAACCCCTTCTCTACTAAAAATATAAAAAAAATTAGCCAGGCATGGTGGTGCATGCCTGTAATTACAGCTACTCAGGAGGCTGAGGCAGTAGAATCACTTTAACCCAGGAGGCAGAGGTTGCAGTAAGCTGAGATCATGCCACTACACTGCAGCCTGGATGACAGATTGAGACTCCTTCTCAAAAAGAAGAAGAAGAAGAAAAGAAGAAGAAGAGGAGGAGGAGGAGGAGGAGGAAGAAGAAGGAGGTCATCAAGAAGTCAACAGAACCTTTTATTTTTTGAGACGGGGCCTTGCTATTCACCCAAGCTGGAGTGCGGTGGTGCCACTGCTGCTCACTGCAGCTTCCACCTCTTTGGCTGAAGCGATCCTACCACTTCAGCTGCCTGAGTAGCTAACTGGGCCTACAGACACGTGCCATCACGCCCAGCTAATTATATTTTTATTTGTAGAGATAGGGTCTCACCATGTTGCCCAGGCTGGTCTCAAACTCCTGAGCTCAAGCGATCCTCCCTCCTTGCCCTCCCAAAGTGCCAGAATTACAGGCATGAGCCACCATGTGTGGTAAGCACAAAGTTTAAAAATATGGTCCATGATGCGAGTGGATCACCTGAGGTCAGGAGTTCAAGACCAGTCTGGCCAACATGGTGAAACCCCATCTCTACTAAAAATACAAAATTTAGCTGGGTGTGGTGGCGGGTGCCTGTAGTGCCAGCTACTCAGAAGGCTGAGACAGGAGAATTGCTTGAACCCGGGAGGTGGAGGCTGCAGTAAGCCAAGATCACACCACTGCACTCTAGCCTGAAGACAGAGTAAGACCGTTTCTCAAAAAACAAACAAACAAACAAACAAACAAAAGTCCAATGCTTATTTCCTGCTGCCACTGATTTCTATCATTTTTTAAAAAAAATTACTGTAATTTACATTCATACATAAAAGTAGAGTTGCATTTTGATCTTACAAGCTCCCGTTAGCCAGCTACAGTTGTAGCCAGCTACAGTATCAACATGTGGCCAGTTGTGTTTCAGTTTTGCCTAGCTCATCTTCTCATCTCTATCGCTCACCTATCCTTTCTTTTTTCCTCTTTTCTTTCCCTTTCTTTCTTTTTTGCTGGCGTTTTTTAAAGCGTATTCCAGACATCATGTCATTTAAGTCACTTCCTGCAGAGTTTCCTTGAGGCAGGGCTACAAGATAATGTAGGCTGGTGAAATGATCTCTTATGATTATGTTCCTCACCAAAATACGGAATTTGTGGTATTAAGAAACAATAAAGAATTTCTAAAACTTTTTCATAATACCCCAGATATTTCAGACTTTATTTCATGGCCTTTTGAGAAACTTTATTTTCAGCGGGGGTCCGTGAGAACTTTATTATCTCCCTTTACTATTAAAATAGTAACAGAATAACAGAAACTTTGACTGTTTATTACTCTAAAAAGAGGTGAATATTTTCTTTCTGTTGGTGAAGAGCATTTTCAGGGCATCACTTTTGAAGTTAAAATTTGACAATGGAAAGTTTGCAGAGATCTTCTATGACAAGAAACCAAACATATCATTGTCCCCAGCTCTAAACCCTCCCCCAGGCAATCTCCTGGAGCTGATTGTTGTAATGGTTTTAGAAAGGCACTTAGGACCAGGACTTAAATCTGAAGCATGGTACACAGTTGTTTAATGTTCGCATAAGTCAGATCTATGAAGGATCAAGTAATTTGGAAGTTTAGTTACTTTCCACTAGTAAATATCATCCAACGAAATTTGGGTAAAATGACCTCTAAATAAGTCAAGTAGACAGGAGCTTTGAAAGAGGGAATTAATTATAGCTGGTGTCTTAAGGAGAAAGAATCCCACAGTGGCATGCAGAATGTAATTAACGGGAGGTAAGTGCCAACAAATCACTCTTTAAAATATTAATGCTATCAAAGAACAGCTGGATAATGAGAGAAACTTGACCCCTGGGGGACTAGCAAAGGTTGCTGCTGCAGCAGAACTTTATGCAGTCATGACGTAATGAAATTCCTCTGAATTTTAACAAAAACTAATATTGAGAGGTGTGGTTCTGGGAAAGTTATTAGCAGTAAACATGTCATAATTTTTATCATCTTATTATAATCATTATATCTCATTTTGCTGTGGTTGTAAGTGATATTTTCCTCTAATTGCTCAGGATATATACAATCCAAACAACACTCATAAAAAACAACTAGATTGTTTTAAAAAAGTTTAAGCCTGGCAAGAATATTTTTTTTGTAAATAAAAAACCTAATATCTAAGACATTTCTGCAAAGCAATTTCCCATATGTTTAAATTATTTAACTAAACCAAGAAAAAAAAAACTTGTTTCAGTGTTTGTTATTGAAAGCGCCAACTTAATTTGGTTTTACTTCATAGCTTAGTATTGTCCTAAGAAATATGTATTTCTAAGAGAGCAATAAAGTTAAATATTTACACAGTCCCACTTACCATGTGAAATGTTGGGGCATGTATTTACAACAGCCTCATAACCAAATGCTTATCCCAATACTTAAAATTAGAAATCAGAAGTAATTATTTACTTGGAGTACAGTTTAACTTAGATTTAATAAAAGAGAAAACGTTTTAATACGAGATTTTAAAAAAAGTTTCTCCGAAATGGACTAGGACCATCAGGAGGCTGCGGGCGTGATCAATGCGTTTGACCGCTCACCATGTATAGCTGCCGCTGAGAACACTTTGTTCCTTTTGTTTAACTCAACTTGCCGACATCTAACTCAGGGACACGGGTATGCAGCGTGTTTGACAAATAAGCCGAGATACGCCGAACATATTCACACATACTAATAGACGGTGACTGGAAGTTCAGGGTGCAGTCAAAATAAATGCTTGCGTTTGGCCCAGGTTTCACATAACACCAGTTTCATAAGGCACTTACGCCGCTAACGGAGCAGTGCCCCTGAAAATAGCCCACAGGGGACACATCATTTAAATAAATGTGTTTCTTTCCCTGAACAGAAGTTTCAGTTCTGCTCAATTATCATTAATTTTGCTCCTTTATTTCCTTTGCGAGCGTAAACGGAGAAGTCGTGCTCTTTGAGGTTTTGCGAGCTGGCCTTGGCTGGCAGAGGTGACCGGCGATCCTTCACCTAGAGGAGAGATTGCAAGTGTGTGTGTGCTTGTGAAAATGTGTCGTTCCTCCCAGAAAAAGTGGAAACGTAGGTGTAAAGCTCAGCGCACACGTTGGCGACACCTAAAAACCACGTTCTCGGTCCTGAACCTTTAGAAGCGGTGTCCCAGGAACGAGTCTGAGTCTGTGTAACAGGGCACAGATGATTCGACTAACTTCAGTAACTGCACCGTGTTCGCGCATTAAATCCATTGAAAAGTAAAACCAACGTCTCCACTAGCGCGCCCACGCGCGTGGATAACGCTGGAATCTGGCAGCCCTCGCCGTCACTCTGCAGAGTTTTCCCCGCCGTGAGAGGGTTGGGGTGTGCGGGTAGGGGGAGGGTTTGATATCCTCAGGTTGAGAGTCAAGTCCTTGGGGAGCGGCAGGGGCGGGGGTGGCCGGGGAGAGGCGGAGGATGGCGCGCGAACCTGAAAGCGCAGAGGACTCGCGGCCCGCTCCTCACCCGCTGTGATTAGCTCCGGCGGCGCGACCCGGGAGGGCGGACTCTTTCTTAACCCTCATTGTCTCCTCCTCCCTCTTCCTTTTTAAAGGACGCCTTGCGGGCAGAGCTGTCAGCAACCGGGCGGTCTTGTGTACTTGGCCGCGGAGGAGTTGACTCCTGCTCCTGTGACAGATAGGGGCGGGGGCTGAGCGGCTTGTCCGGGGTACTAGCACGTGGGGGAACAAATTCTTTTCTTCCGGCTCCTCTCGGGACCGGGCGATCGCCACAAGTTGGGACTTGTGCGGCGCTGGAGTTGGCAGCCCGGGGCGCGAGGGATCCCTTGAGGAGTGGGGAGGGAGGTGGCCAGGGGGTTGGCGCGCCCCTCGCGAGGGGAGCGCTATGAGCCGGGCAAAGGGAGACAGCGACTGCCCCACCAACAGCCTCGGCTGGCGCCTCCCGCCGGCCCTCGCCAACTCGCCCCGCGCACCATGCTGACTCCCGGGCTGCGGAACTCGTAGTGCAGCCCCTGTCGGCTCCCCGGCCCCTGCTATCCCACGCAGGGCTGGCTTCGGCCGCCGGGGCCAGTCGCTTGCTACGCGTCCCTGGGGAGGCGGAATCGCCGTGCTCCCGGAGCCGGGTCTCAACCCCTTCGCTCTCCATCTGCGTCCTCCTCCCTGCCGCCCAGGGCGCCCAGTGGCGATGGGGGCGCTGCTGGCGCTTTGCCTTCTCGGCTGGCTGCGCTGGGGCCCGGTGGGATCCCAGCAGTCCGGAGAGTACTGCCACGGCTGGGTGGACGTGCAGGGCAACTACCACGAGGGCTTCCAGTGCCCGGAGGACTTCGACACTCTGGACGCTACCATCTGCTGCGGCTCCTGCGCTCTCCGCTACTGTTGCGCCGCGGCCGACGCCAGGGTGGAGCAGGGCGGCTGCACCAACGACCGCGGCGAGCTGGAGCACCCAGGCATCACCGCGCGTAAGTGCGGGGCCCTAGGGGACAGATCCCCAGCCGCCTAACGGCAGCCGCTGCCTGTGTGTGCGGGAAGGTCTGTGAGCCAAGGGGACGCGGCCGAGTGGGGAGAATCAAGGGAGTAGTGGGTGGTCGAGTTTCAGCTCACGGTCCTCTATTCATTTGCAGTCCCGCTTCCTGCCACTTGCGGTCTCTGCGGGTCGGCCCCAGAGAAAGTTTGCCAGGGACAGTGAGGAGCGCGGGGCTTGTGCCTGGTGGGCTGGGGGGAAACAGCTGGAGCTCCTGGGAGAAGGGTCGTGCGGGTAGAGTCAGGGTAGACTTGGGTTTTAGGAGGCGGCGAGGGTGTCTAATTATGGGCTTTTGTCACTTTGGGAGCTTCGGGAATTGAAGTGTCGAAGGCAGGGAAACGCGACTCTTGTCGCGCGCTCATCTGCAGCCCTTCAGGGCTAAGAAACCCCAGTCACGTTTTTTTATTGTTGTTCTGTGATAGCGTTTCTAAGCCACTACCTCGTTCTGCAGACTTCCTTTCAATTCTCTGCATCGAATTACCCTCTCCGGCCCACCCCCTATTGTCACGCCTTTCAGAAATGCCCAGGTCTTCGGGGTGGAGATTTAGAAACAGGGGTCGAAGGGGCTTCCCCGCCTCCTATTCTCACATCGGAAAACACGGGTCAAATTTCCGCTCATTTCAGAGCGGAATAAATCACGACCTCAACAGAGGAAATTTACACCTTGAAAAAAAGTTTTCCACCTGAATCGGAACATCAGGGAAACCCTTTAGAGCTTGAGGCGAGGGTTTTATGGCGGAGGAAACCGGAGAAGCGGGCGGAGCTGAGAGCGAGTGACACCCCAGGACTCCAGAGCCGAGGTCTGGAGCCAGCAACAGAAGGTTGCGGGAAAGGGAGGCTGGAGAGATCATTAAGGGTGCTCCAACGACCCCTCCCTGCAAGCTGATGACCCAAAGGATAGGGGAATCTGCCCTTCGTTAGTGCTCCACTAGAGGGTGAATACTGGGGGTCAACATTTCCAGTCTAGAGGATTCGGGAGGTAGTTTCTGGAGAGAAGATGCTCAGTTGAAAGTAGGGAAACATAGGCCGTCCTGGCTTGTTAGAAAAACACAGACTTTTCCCCACGGCTGCCCTCTGGGAGTAAGCTCAATCGCCCAGTCTGCAGCAGGGGCTCCCCCCGGGGTCCCTAGTGGGGTCTGATGCCAGGAGGGCAGCCGAGGAGAGAGGCAGTCTCCACACTCACTGAGTCTGGGATCAGGCAAACCCTGGTGGACCTTGGCTCTTTCACTTGCCGGTGGTGTAACTTGGGCCAGTTATGTAACTGCTCTGGACCTCTTCTCAGTTCTAAAGTGGGCATGTTGCTCTCAAAGGAGGTAAGTTGTTGGTTATGTGAGAGTGTATGAACGCTGAAGCTCAGGGCTTAGTAACTAGTAGTTACTCACCTTTGCCTTGCCTTGCACACTGGTGCTAGTAAACAGGGGAGAACCCGAGGGACACAGAAGAGCTTATGCCTGGGAGCCCACAAATAGTTGATAGTTAACTGTACCTCACTGGTCGTGTCTGTGGGAATGCACACACTTCTCTGATGTATTTCCACATGTGGAAAACGGAGCTTATCATGCCCATCTCACAGGGTCTCCATGAGACTTTAATCGGATAATGAATAAGAGCGAGTCAGGCACACAGTAGGGGCTTAGTCAATGCAGGTTTTCTTCCTTCTCCCTGTAAGCTGTGTCTGTCGCAGCTCTATTAGTGGAGATACCTGGAGAATTGCCCAAGGGGATGCCTCTGGGCTGGGGAATTCTGTCTGCCTTATAGATAGGGAAGGAAATTAGAGTTTGCTCTGTCTGAGGGATGCTTTTATAGAAAGTCTGGGCTGTGGACACCAAGAATTGCATCATGATCGATATTTAAAGTTGTCTGACTTCCCAGACTTGAATGGGAATTCAGAGGCATGGCAGCTGGAGTGGGTATTCCAAATCTTTTCTGGAAAGAGGCAGCCAGAGCTGGCAATTTGTGGTATGGTAGGAGACATAGTAGTTGGGGCCCTCTATGAATTTCTTCATACGGTTCCTTCTAGAGTCTCATAAAATCATGGGTCTGTGTGTGGAGGGGGGTCTCATTTAACAGGCCTGGTTCTCTTTGCTCTTGGATGGGAGATGGATTGCCAGCCTAAGGGAGGGGTCAAATCTCTAACTGCCCCACTGTGATCAAACTACTAAAATCTGCATTTAAACCCAGAATTATTGTAACCTCTAAAACTCACCCTTTCCCTCCAGTGCCTGAACAGGAGAAACAGATTCTGTTTTTTTCTGACTTCCAGATGTGCAATATGACGGTTAATTGCTAACAGAGGTTACGGTATCAGTTTGCTTCCTCCCTGCTAGGCGTAGCGAGAATATTCCATCATCACAGTTTGCATTGCATTTTGGAGGTTACCATCAACAAGCTCTGAAAAGTTGAGCTGACAACAATGATAATACTGAGTCTCCCACCTCTCAACCCTCAGCTGCCCAAGCAGAGCTCAGAGTTTGGGAGATCCTCATCGGAGCGTCTGTTTATGTCTGTTTTTGCCTTTTAGAGCCTGTCTACGTCCCCTTTCTCATCGTCGGCTCCATCTTCATTGCGTTCATCATCCTGGGCTCTGTAGTGGCTATTTATTGTTGCACCTGTTTGAGACCCAAAGAGCCCTCACAGCAGCCAATCCGCTTCTCGCTCCGAAGCTATCAGACAGAGACCCTGCCCATGATCCTGACCTCCACCAGCCCCAGGGCACCCTCCCGGCAGTCCAGCACTGCCACGAGCTCCAGCTCCACAGGTGGCTCCATCCGCAGGTTCTCCTTTGCCAGGGCTGAGCCAGGTTGCCTGGTGCCCTCATCGCCCCCGCCATACACCACGAACCACTCCATCCACCTGGCTCAGCCATCCGGTTTCCTGGTGTCACCCCAGTATTTCACTTACCCCCTCCAGCAGGAGCCCCCGCTGCCTGGGAAGAGCTGTCCAGACTTCAGCTCCAGTTGATGCGCTTAGGCCATGAATCCACAACTCAGTCAAATGGCAGATAGGTGGAGCCCTACTGCCATTGCTACAGCAATTCTGAGAAAATTTCCCTTGTAACTGATCAATGTCATGGGGGAGCATGCTAGGAAAACACAGCACCTTCTAATTTGAAAGTTCCTGGCTCAAATCACAGAATGGCTGAACTAGAGTACTGTTTTCTGGTTTTGCAAACATGTAATCACTACATTTCAATTTATGCTGCTTTTATTCAAAATATGCAGCAGTTTGATTTTAAAGTTGCAAGTTGGCTGAAACTGTTTTTCTGGACATTCAGCTATACTTCTTTGAAAGGTCTACGTGTTTCTTTTTCATATAAGTTGTTCATTGAGTTATGAACAAATATATACATAAATAAGCAAAGAAAAATGCCTAGTTGTAATTATTGAAGGTTCACTTAAAAATTTAACTATTAGGTAAACTTAAGGGGCAGTGAATAATTTGTTTATGATTTCAGGAGTAACTTAACCATGAATAACACTAGCATATGAGAACATTTACTTTTTAAATAAATAACTAAATTTTATTTAAAATACGTGTTTTTTCCCCAAAATACAAAGTTTCAATAACCACGAGTTTAAAGTTTTAAATATATACTCATTCATTGTAACACAGATTCTATGTAAAATCATTTCCCCCACTCACTGAAGGGAGTATTTATTGCAGACTTTTTGTTTAGCAACATTTAATGTTTCAATGAAAATTGGACAGTTGGGGCTTAAAACATTTATTTGTGGCTGGGCATGGTGGCTCCGGCCTATAATCCTAGCACTTTGGGAGGCCAAGGCAAGCAGATCACCTGAGTTCGGGAGTTCAAGACCAGCTTGACCAACATGGTGAAACCCTGTCTCTACTAAAAATACAAAATTAGCTGGACATGGTGGTGCATGCCCACAATCCCAGCTACTTGGGAGGCTGAGGCAGAAGAATTGCTTGAACCTGGGAGGTGGAGGTTGCAGTGAGCCGAGATTGCACCATTGCACTCCAGCCTGGGCAACAAGAGTGAAACTCCATCTCAAAAAAAAATGTGTTTGTAAAATGAGCTATGTACATATGTAAATATTTTAATTTAATGTATTTACCACATTGAATGTACTAATTATTTAGTAATCATACTGTAATTTTTATGTTAATAATAACTGTGGAGTTCAAAGTCTAGCTATTGGTATAATCATCTAATATTATATATCTCCAGTGCCACTGATTTTTATGTCTGATGACTATATATTTGGGCATATATCTTATTGGGTTAGAATAAATAAAATGTTTCCATGAACTCTACTGAAATTTTAAAGTGCTTTATTTTATCTCTTTAATGATGTTTTTGCTACTCAATAAAAGGAAATGTCTTTAACACATACTTCATATTTTAAAATTTAAAAAATTCTGTATCAGGGCTCTTGAAAGCAGCAAAGGAAGTGAATTTTTATAGAGGTCTCAGTCTGCAGTCCTCTGATGTGTTATCTGGCCTGTAGAGAATTCATCATTGGGACATTTCTCATAAGAATCTGGATTTCTGGCTTCTGATGACATAGAGGACGTGGCACCAGGAGTCCTGCACTGCCTTGGGGTCAGGTCACTCTTCTTCAGACAGGACACCTGCCATATGCCAGCCTCCTGCCTGGTCTCCCCACTTGGCCCATCTATTTCTGCTATGTTACCTACCTGGCCCCTGCAGGTGTGGTTTGAAAGTCCAGATTTATAGGAATTCATACGTCACTCTCAATTTTCAAACACAACTAGTTAGAGGTGGAATTCTGTCCTAAGAAAGTTGTTTGGCCTCGTCTCTTCGTTTCTAGTTAAGGAAACAAATTCAAAGATATGCCTTTGCTCAGTCTAAAGGCAGAAGGGCTCTGACTTCTAGGTTCCTGTTTTTACCTGTATCTAATAGTGGCCTGACTTCCAAGTATCCCAAATTATTCAAAATAATTAAGGAAAGAAACAGCTGCATGTAAAAGGATAAACATTTATACATATGCTCTTGGGCACACTCCTGTACCATTAGACTGGTTTTATGTTTGCTGTATATTGCTCCTTATAATGGTTTTAAGGTAACTTTATTTAAGCTCTTATTATGAGCCAAGCACTAACTATAAATATGTACTAACTTATTTTATGCTCTGAACAACCCAAACAGAAAAGGATTATAATTCCTATTTTACAGATTTGAAAACTGAGGCACAAAGGAGTGAGGCAACTTGCCCAAGGTCCTGCAGCTAGTTTGTACTGGAGTTGATAGGCATAAACAAGCAGATTCAAACTGCTTTGAGATTTTGATGGTTCTGTGCACAAAATTCACTGGAGATTTTAGGAGCATAAGCCTAAACTTCAAAGGCAGTGATTCTCAGCTGCGTTGGACCCCAAAATGAGCTCTCCTTAGAACAAATGTTTTGTGACTTTCTTTTATCAGTCCTAAAATGAGATTTATAGATAACTCACTACACATACAATTTTAAAAAAATCAATACAATGCCCCAGTGATATACAGAAAGAAACAAGAAAGGGAAGCAACTTGTTTCTAAATGTAAAGGCTTGGGCAGACTTAAAAAATACTCAGACGCTAACCCTTTATTCAAAACCACCATGATGTGACAGCTTCAAATCCAGACATACGCAGTTGGTCAGACTAGCAACTCAAACACAGTTGCACTGATGCTGTTAATGTGATTTTTCCCAGCAAAGTTTGATCATCCCTGGATTTGCACAGTGACTGTATATCTGAAGAATTCAGTGTACAGTGGGGCAGTGCAAAAAATATAGATAATATGGGATTATTTTTCACCAGTAGGAATGGTGGACATTCCAAAGTCATGCCGATATACATCTATCAAGTCTGTGTTGTGCAGGCTCCCCCTTGCATAGTAGGGTGTTTGTTACAACTGAGTCCCCCTCAGTGAATGCCAGTAGCACATCCACCTCTACCCCAACTCTCTAATGCCAAAGATTCCCCCACACAATCTCATGATGTCCCCTAGGGGGTGGAATTGTCCCCACTAAATACCATCTACTTGTCAGATTTCTCTAGTAGCTGTACTTTTATTTGTCATCCGTTTGGAGATCAGTTTATGTCCATCAGACAAATTAACACTAAAGAATTCACAGAGAGTTCACACCTGCAAATTTCTTATCCTGAGCAGGATGCCCCAGTCAATTTAACTGGCCATAAACTGGTTAAAATTAGAGAGATGTTGTGTACATCATTGCAACATGACATTCAGTGACATTAGATCAAATCATATCACTAAGTAATTGGTGTACATGCCTTTGACCTTCCCTCTGGAAGCAGTGTAGTTGATATTATTATTCACAATTTAGGTAAAAAGCCCATCCTGTGATAGATTTCTAGGTGTTATCCCATTCAACAGTTCTTTGCTGAACACCACTTATGGGTCAGGTCCTGGGTGAGATGAATAGAAGGTGAATAAAATGCACTTCCAACTCAAGGAGCCACTATCTACCATAGGCTCCAGCATGATGACAAAGACAAATACTTGTGATAAAACGTTATAGATGCTTTGTAAAAGAAGCATGTTATTGTTTTGTGCTCTCTATGGTAACTGATTATAGGGGACTGCAGGATACCCTGGCAGCACTTACAAAGGACACTGTTCATTTAGAAGGTATTGACATTGGACCTGAGCCTTGAGAGACACAGAATTTGAATGAAGACAGGGCAGAGGAAGAAAGAAAGGGAGGCTGGATATAAGGGAAAAAAATATATCAGGCAGAGTAAAGAATTCATAGAGAGACACAGAAGCACCCACCCATGAGCCTGAAAGAACAAGGAACATTTAAGTATCCAGAAGCAGAGCGAGGCTGGAGAGAAAAGCAGGGGCAGATAGATCTTGAACACCATGGCATTTGAATAGATGTCAAATGCAAGAGGGAGTCTGGAAGGATTTTACAGGGGAGGGTGATGGGATCATATCTTCATTTTAGAAAGATTAGGCTGCAAAAGTCAATGCAATCTCTTGGAATTTTGAAGAGCTGCTCACCACAATCTGCTAAGCCACCAAAGTACAGCGGAAACTGGTCTGCTTTTGTTACTTTCAGAAAGAATTTGAATCCAACATCCTCATATCACAATAATTGTGATAAATAGAAGTTCTGCATTTTGAAAGGTCATTATGCCAATAATGGATAACATTTATTAAGCACTATGTATGTTCCAGTGCTTTACGAATTGTATCAGTGAATCTTCACAACCCTGAAGAAGGGACTATCATCATGCCTATCCTGTGAAGAAATCAAGGTGAGAAGTTTTGTGCCCAGGGTTGGACAATGACAATACCATAGGGGACAGATTTGAACTCAGGTGGTCTACTTTTAAATTCTACATTCTTTGTAGAAGGAGGTCTAATTTTGTCAGGAAAGAAAAAAATATCCAACGTACTTTTCAGAAAATCTATTGGGGAAAAGTCATCAGTTACATCATATTGTACATATTCTATTGCTATCAGGGAATTGTAATAGTCAAGGAGAGCTTATGCTGCATTATGAGAATGTTGAATAAAATGAAGCATAATAAAAACACTAGATGATAAACATTTTTCCCTTTACACATGAGAAATGAGATTCCAGAGGGTGACTGAGCATGGATTTTGAAGCTATAGTGCCAGGGTTAGTTTTCTGGTTCTGTCACTTAAACGTGGAGTGACTTTGGGCCACTTATGTTCACTGTGTCTCAGTTTCCTCATTTGGAAAACAGAAATATTAGCTACCTTATTGTTGATCGTTTTCTTGACAAGAAGTTATAGACACTCTCAGGTCACTTGCATTCTACTGGGCAAAAAGCTGTGTAGTAAGGATAAATGACAGAAAGCAGATGAAATACTCTAGAATAAAAATGAAAGGCTATGTACTGTGGGAGGGCAGATGCCACTGCTGATTAGGGGTAGGGAACAGAGAAAATGGTCCTACAGTTTTATCGACTAAGTCCTAGATAACCCACAGCCTCCTTTGGTATTTGGCCAACTTCCTGCTATTGCCTGGAGTAGGGAATCCTCTCATCCTGTTGGGTACTCATGGTCTGTACGTTTCTTTCATCATCTGCTTTAGAGAGCACATTTATAGATAGGTGTGGTGGCGGGTGCCTGCAATCCCAGCTACTCATGAGGCTAGGCAGAAGAATTGCTTGAACCTGGGAAGCAGAGGTTGCAGTGAGTCGAGATCGCGCCATTGCACTCCAGCCTGGGTGCCGCAGTGAGACTTCATCTCAGAACAAAACAAAAAAACCAAACTGTTCCTTGGAGACAAACTTATTCTAAAATACATGTGCTTTTCTAAACAAAAAGACACAAGCACATCTGACATAGTAAATTTGCTTTAGTTATGTTCCAAAGTGAACAGATTGTACACTTGTCCAAACAGATAGATTATTCCTTATTTTCCCCACATGTTTTATTTGTTACTATTAGCTACTCCTCATGGAGAATTTACTAATTGACTTGAATCCATAGGAAATTTTCTCTCTTAAATGAGATAACCAAAAAACTTCCTGAAAGTAGATATAGTCACAACTAGGAATTTGACAAATTTCACTGGGTTAGGATCATTTTACCTTTGCATAATGTAAAACATTTATTTAGTATATCTTCAGGAAAACTAAGAATTTACAGGCATGTTAAACTATTAAGGGAACAAACTGTTAACATATTTTTACATTCACATAGTTATTTTAAAATTGTAATTAAACAGTAGTTAATGAAATTATTTGGACAGGAAATCCTTATTTAAATTGCTAGCTACAGTTTGTACTTGAAAGTAATAAAAACTGAATGGCAAGAGGTATTTCATATTTTCCAACATATTTTATTAGCCTACATGTGTAATTATCCAGGTTAAGAAGATCTTTCTTCATTAAAGTGAGGTAGTTCTGTGTTACTGAAATGGAAGCTTTAGGTTAGAGATGCCTTACACATACAAAAAAAATTTAAATGGGGATGACATATTGGATTTATGGAAATGTATCTCCAGTTTGCTTTTTGCTTGTGGTAGTATTAGAAGACATCTTAAACTACAGGTCAGTGGAAACACAGTGCTTATTTTATGGAGAATGGAGTTAAATGTGAAAATTTGATACAATTCAGAGGTAATATATCCATAACTGTTTTGCATGGAGGTCCCCTCCCAATTGTCCTAGTGAAGACTGTGGGAGAGGACATGGGACTCCAGGCAGCTAAGCACAGGCAGCCTCAGTCTAATAAAATCAGATGCTCCTCAAATTGCCTCTCCAGGCCCTCTTTGAGAACTAATCCTATTCTAGCAATTTGCCTAATTGT